GTGTGGGTAAGAGTACTAATCTGTCCAAAGTCTGTTTCTGGTTAATCCAGAACAATCTCCGGGTCCTCATTGCTGCGTGTGACACCTTCAGGTGCGTACATGTTCATTTCGGCGTTATCTGTCTGTTCCTGTAGTGCTAAGGCTGTGAACCAGGAGTGGCGCCGTTGAGCAGTTGCGCGTCCATGTGCGCAACTTAGGTATGCTTGGTGTTGACGGCGCGACCAATAGCAAAGGTCGCGTTGAATTGTTCGAGAGGGGGTATGGAAAGGACGCTGCGGCTATTGCCAGGGAAGCCATTGGATATGGTGGGTTGAGGACGGTGACTTCAATACCTATTAGCTTACTAACGCAATGGTGCTCAGCAAACGAGAATGGCTTCGACGTGGTTCTGATCGATACAGCAGGTCGCATGCAAGACAACGAGGTCCGTAACACGACTTGTACCGCGCATGCCAACTGACACGCAGCCCTACAGCCGTTGATGAGGGCTTTGGCCAAGGTTGGGCTTCTCCAGCATGATATTTGACTTCTCCCCCCCATATTCATCGCCGAGGACAGCTTGTCACAGTGAACAACCCCGATAAGGTCATCTTCGTGGGCGAGGCGTTGGTCGGCAACGAGGCAGTAGACCAGCTCACGAAATTCGACCGTGCCTTGCGCGATTTCTCATCTGCTTCGTCAGGGAAAAGTCGTGGGATCGACGGCATGCTTGTGACGAAATGGGATACTGTAGATGACAAGGTCCGTCCGACTTATATCACACTTCCATTCTTTTTTTTGTGTGCTCCGTGCAACGAGATCTCGAACGCATCTTTGCCAGGTTGGTGCCGCTCTTTCCATGACGTACGTGACGGGTCAGCCGATCATCTTCGTTGGATGCGGACAGGTTCGTTTTTTTACTTCACATTTCCCGGATGGGCTTTTAACTTACGGTGCTTACCCACTCGAAGACGTACACAGACTTGAGGCAGCTGAGAGTGGACAACGTGGTCCAGGCGATACTGAGTGATTAGATTTTTGCTTGCTATCAGGTCCTGTTACGATCTCGAAGTACATACTTACATGCCACTTGGGCACGCGTCTTCCGAGGTTTCCGCTATTTGTAACATACTAGATGCTATGATTTGGCCCCAACGTTCGTCTGAGTCTCCGTAGGAAGTGTCGTGCACATCTATAACCATGGAACGCACATCACACTTCATTAACTTTGGTCCGGGATATGCATTATTCGCCTTTCCGACTGCAGGCCTGTGTCAATTAGATCTGCAGAGATACGAAATGCAACACCGTTTCAACATTTCAAGCACTGCCAATCTCCCGTTCACAAGCCATCGCGGAGCACCGTGCCCGAATTATACATAGCCATTGATAATCGCTGCATCATAGTTGACTTTTAATCCCGACGTGACTGAAGGGTTCTGATAGTGGGATCGGGTGTGGCTACCGCCAACAGATTAACGCGTCCGCTCTCATGCCGTAGTGATTTTATCGGATGTTCGACCACTCCTTCTGTGAAGGACTCGCCGGAATGACTGGCTTGGATCAACGGCGGCCGGTTAGGGTCCTTGACAGAAGTCACCGTGGATGGCGTGTATTTCACGATCCAGCACGAGCAATACGGTGCTGGTAGATCCGTCTGATAAGGGGACGTTCGTAAATATAGGTTCATCGGGGACGGGGCCAGAGTGGATGGAACCAAATCTACTCAGGCTATCGTGAACCTGCGATCTTGGATTCTTGATATGGACTTAATCGAGAAGGAACGATCTTCTATCAAGTCAATTTGGTCTGCCTACGGGGACCTCGAGGAAGTACTTCGGTAGGCCGCCCGGTGGGCCAATTGGTGGGAATACGTATTCCTCGCTACCTTCATGCTGGTGGGACTGAAGAGCACCGGAACCTTGAAGGTGCGGAGCCTGGTGGGGGAGGAAGGACATATTAATTCCTTCCATAGTCAGGTGTTAGCAAGTGCATAGATCAAACGGGACCAGGTAAGTGCATTGCGTTCCCCGAGTTCCCAATTCACCCCTAATTCCATGGTACGTCGCCGTCTAATGGTTTCGGTGAACTTGAGGACTTGTTGCTCATTTACGCTTGAAACTAATCGCTCACATCTTCACCATCCACCTATCCAATTTGTCAAACTCCTTGGACAGCATGGGTACCACCTCATACTTCGGGAAATGATAAGGGTAAACTGCATCGACGAGGATGACGATGTGCTCGGAATGCAAACCTTACCTCGGGTTTGGCCTCACTTTGACTAATTTTTTGATACGTGAGGTGTGATCAACAGCTTTGTCAAACCTACGAGCCGATTGTAGCACCTGAGTATCATATATAATAGCATCGGTTAGGCTCAAGGCACCACATAACCCATTGGCTACCCTCCCGAGTGTGGTGCCCGTAGATAATACTTCACACAAGCAACACAGCACCCCATCTTGGAATGAAGAGATAAAAAAGAATGGTAGACACAGCATGCCTCTCCCTCCCTCCAAGTCTCCTTCAACACTCATAAGGAAGAGTCACTCAACAGTGGAGATGCTTTCCTCAATCCTTTGGACTCTCTCCGTCACCTCCGCTATCCGGGACCTTCGGCAGGTTCACGAAGCGGATGGTACTAATGCGTGGATCGGAGATAACTGAATCCTTGTTTCGAAGGTACTTCCGGGAATTCAGTGATGCCAGAAGTGAGTTGGCATATACTATTCAACAATAAGATAAGGTGTTATACACGCAAAGGCACGGAAGACTGACACTTTGCAAAGATGAAGTCCAATCCCATTGTCCAGCTATCTTGTGGAAGGTAAACACACTGAAGGAAGAGTGAGAACGACATAGTCATAGTCAAATACATCATACGTACCGTGACGAGCTCCGCGATGGCCACCAGTCTGCGACGAAAAACCTGAATCAAGTCACGGTGGGAAACGAGAGAGGGATCATGCTTACAGAGTCAGTAAACAACGGTTAACAGCATAGATCATAAGTGTGTTCACGAGACGTTTTGTTCTAAAGCAGGACTCGTTAGGAATGGACATTAACACATACTACAGTTACCTTGGGGTTACGGAGCGAGAGCCATCATACAAAAGTATACAGAGTGACACCGTAATCAGACCCTCAGACAGTATGAAGAGAATCCCAAACGGTATCACGACCGGAGACTAGAAATAACGACTCAAGAGCCGGTACACCAATGTCTCTGTTAACATACCGTAAGCGACGAAACCGTGCTGAGGTCATTAGAGAGGAACCTATAGGCAGATATCAGTATTTCGGTGGAGATATGGTTAGACGGATTGGGATACATCAAGATAGCCACTCCTGCTTGTTGATTAGCATAGCTCTCGTGTTATGCAAAAACAACACAAACCAATTTCAAGCCCTGTTGGAATATGGTTAGAAATGTCTCGTGAATGGATCCATAAAAAAGAAACCCACCAAAGTGAGCCAGTACTAATAGTATCTGTCGCAACCATGTCACCTATGATACCTTGGCCATCACAAGCAAATATACTCACGATTGGGGCTGTCACCAGCCACTTCATGTTGGGGCGACAGACTAGACATTCGTCAACCAAGTCCCCGGACACAGCCTGAGTGTGACGTACGATGGTATATTTTATGTGTGAAAAAACTAGTAACATCCAGTCCGTGAGTGATGAACATCGACCCACAAGAGTTACTCACAGCTGAACTACAAAAACTAAAAATGCCTGCAATGCAGCTAAGTGTTGTCGCAAACGGTTCTGGGAAGAAAGGAACGCACATTTGCAAGAATCGACGCCTATGTTGGGAAAACTTTTATAAAGTATCTAGTCAGAAGTTGGGTATGCGTACTGGTAACGACCTGGCTTATCTCATTGGTGGGAACTGCCTTGGAAATGGATGATGGCATACGAACCAAACAGAATAACCCAAACTCGTCGGAACACCGTAGTTGGTTACCTGCAGCGCATTGAGCATGATGAGTAGAAGAGGTAGACGCAGCAGTTTCACCAGGTAATAATACAACACATCACACACTAATCAATCGTTAGCCATCCATTCACCCGCAAGCACCAAGCCCTTACCGAACAAGGAGTGTAAGGTATCAAGAGTCCTGACTTCGTATGGGTAGATCTGATGGGTGTTCCAAGGTAGCGCAACGTACCATACGGCAGTAACAATAAGCTTCATAATAGCGGCATCCTCAGGGTAGTGCATGAAGTATGAGTAAGTCTGTGTAATCAGTAAGCAAATGTACTAGCCGCCCAAACATTCCGTGTAAAACGCCCCTGGAGAATCGTTATGCCATATAACCTTGATATAGAAAAATGACATCAGGGGGTGAACGTTACGAGGTCAAGAAAAGTCATAGGTACATGATGGAGACCAGACCCCCGATGAAGGTCGTACCTGTCGCGAACAAATGAGCAAGTATATCGCATTTAGTTATGTAACTAGGTCTTCACCGAACCCGCCCGGGATGCCCATGTTATTTGGGTAAATTGTGTCGGGTGAACTCGTCGATGAATTCGCTGCAGGATATAGATGGTGGAAAAGCAATCGAGCGGGCGACGGGGGTATCGGCCAGAAGGTGGAGTAACTCTGTCCTGGACGAATGCTGCATTAAGTATAGTTTGGAGGACTAGCCTCGCCCGAAGAGCATGTCTTATCATGTGGGTTGACTAAACCACCGTGACTGCTTGACCCATCGGAGATGACTATTACCACTCAGTATACAGTGTCCAGACTTGAGTGACTCGAAGCTTTCCTTTTCATGGGCAACCGAATTGGAGCGGCATCGGCCCATCATCTTACATGCCAACCTGGCCCAAATACAGAAAGTAGATCAACACAGACCTTGTCTGATATGAAATACATACGTTTCCTCTGAGTACCTCTTGCAGCATTTTGCAAACACGTACCTAGTGGTTGACTATATGCAAGGACCTTGCTCGTTACAAGAACACAAAAACGGAATATGTAGTAACATTTACCAGTAGTCAATGTCTCTGGTAGTATATCGGTTAGTACACCCGCCTGTCATGGCTTAGTCAGTCAGCGGTGCGCGGGAAAGCGGGGTTCGACTCCCCGCCAGAGAGCGTTTTTTTCTTTATCATTGCAGCCACAATGTTTGCAAGGGTATTTAGAAGCACATACTCATATTGCAACGAATTTCGGGGTGCAGTGACCTTGTAAACAAGGTGATATTGCATCATCAACTAGACCTGCATGGAAGACAAGACGTCTGGGTTGCAAGGTAATTGCTGTAAAACGCCAATCTGCAATGCTCTCGCGAGTGTCGAATGAAGTCGCATTACAAAGAGTTATTTTCTTCCAACCACCTCCTGACCTCCTTCTTGTTCACCATACGCATCACCTCGAGTCGCTCCTCCAAAGTACGATCCCGATACAGTCGCATGATGTGCCCACACACGATCCACACGTCTTCCCAGGAGGCGTCAAACAAGTCCCACCACGAGTTTGGTGGCGTCGAAGGGAGGGAAATCCCTAGGTGCCGAGTAGCGAGGAGAATGGCGGCACTCACGATAGTCGGAACAGCGTATATAGCGTATACGGGTGTCTGTAATCTGCCAAGGTCACCGCACCCATGATAAATCCAATCAACATCAACCTTCGGCGTCTAATGGTAACAGAACAAAAAACTGACGCATCATTGAGGTACCCCCACGCCTTTCCGCATGCCTCCTTGTGGTTAGTGAGCCCAAGCAGGCGGAGGTAATTGATGAGTGTGCCGTATGGGAGGACAACAAGCATGTTAAACCCCAGGCGTTTGAGAATCTGCATTTCAGCGACGACGAGTGCGTCCTTGAGGTTGTAGAACGCATCGCTGAAGTAAGCCATGGGCGTATATTTAAACTTGGTTTTGCCATTTGACGGAGACGGTGCAGGGTGCAGCGGGCGAGGCCATAACTAAATTATGGCCTGGCACATGTGTAGGCTGAGGTCTATGTGATGGGGACGACGGCGGAGGAGACGAGTGCAAAGAGAGTTCGTGCGAGTTCCGCTGGAGAAGCAGGTCATACACGTTAATGAGGTCTCTCATCCGAATTGGGCACTCCTCCAGCTTGGAAGCAAGGTATAGTGCGCCCATGCTGATGTCCTGCATATAAATTGGTGCAATCCGACAAGCACCATACGAAGAAAGAAAGAAAAGGAGACGGGATCCAGAGTGATTCAGACGGTCGATGAAGAACAAAAAGTGTCGCTGACCCCAATGCTAAATTGCTTCAAGGATGTCACGAACCAGAAACGCTGGAACAGTATCTGTGCAGTCGCCTACTGCAACCTGCTTTCTATAAAAAATAATCGGATTGTGGTCATTCTGACTGGCCGAAGTAAAAAAGTTATTGGTGGCGTACTGGTTGAGCAAGATACCAGCTTGGTGTATGAGTTTGCAGCCAAAAGCTCGGAGGTCTTCTTCAAGTTCCTGTGGAAGTCCATCTTCTCCCGAGGGCGTCCTCGCAATCTGAGAATGCGTTGCGAGAGGGACGAGTGTCGGGGTCATCCTCGGACTTGTTGGAGGAGGGAGCGTTGCAAGTTGGACTACTTGCCCTGAAATGGTAACAACAGCATTTTCCTTGCAGACCACCGTCTCAGACCAGCACACTCGTAATGGCGGGTCTGCCTCCCAAGCCAGACTTTCCACCCCGGCCACAGAGCACCTGGCCTGACAAGAACGATGCTCGTTCTTCACCCGATCGTCACTACCACCCCCGTGATGACAGGCGAGACAGAGACCGCGACTACAGAGACAGAGACAGGGACTGGGACCGACGCTCATACCGCTCGCGTTCCCCTTCACGTCCCATGATGGACAGTTACATCGCAGGATCTCACCCCGCATCTCCCTCGAAGGGTACATCCCCGCACGCAAGAGACATTAGTCGAATGCCAGGGTCTCCCGGCCGACCCCATGGATCAGACTACCGAGGCTATGATGATTCACGCATGAGGGACGACCGGGATTGGAGAGGTGGTAGCACATGGGACAGGCGGCCATCTCGCTATTCTGACCGCGATCGCGAGAGGGATAGAGATTTTGACTATAGGAGAGGACGAGAACCTGTCTCAACGAGACGAAGACCTGTTCGACCAGTATGATAGGGAAAGGGATGATAGGAGGCGGTACTCTTCACCTGACTATCGTTGGAACTCGCGGTCGCCACCTCCGCGTCGTGGTGGTACGTTTTTTCTTCCTATGTTTTCCGATATATTCCTCTCACTAATAATGTATGTCATAATCCTTGATTCTACAAACCCATATGCAGATCACTACGTTGGACGCGCACGCTCCCCGGCGCGCCGTCATCCGCCTCGTCCTCCCTCACCCTCACGTGTCATCCGCTCACCTTCACCGCAATCACGTAGCATAAAACCAGATCCTAGACGAGCTACACCAGCCGCGACATGACCGTGATCGCGTTCGGGAAAGGGGAAAGTATCTCTCCCCCCCATCCACGCCGATACAGCCGGAGTCCCACTCCTGCATACCGACGGCGTCCTCCACGGCGCTCTCGCTCACCTTCACGGACAAGGGTGGAAGTTACCGCCCAAGGTCACGCTCACCACCTAGGCTGAGGTCGCCAAGCCCAATACGACACGTAAAACAGGACCCAGTGGACGACACACGCTCAGGGTCACCCAGAAAGAGAACATCCAAGATCGTCTCCTCTCCCCTATGTCAAAAAGGAGGAGTTGGAAGAGAGGATGGACTGGAGACGTACATTGCCTTCTCCTAGACACGAGGTAACGAATGAGCTGTCTGGCGAGCTGGCACATGTGAAGAAGCGGGCCCGATCCCCTTCTCCACTTTCCGTCCATCCACGTGTACGTGCACGGTCACTCTCACCTTCTCTGTCGGAAAAAGAAACGGAACGCGAAAAGGACAGGGACAGAGAACATGAGCAAGGAAGGGAGCGGGAAAAGGACAAGAAACCAACCCAGCCATTCCTCCCGCCCATACCCCGGTACGAACCTCGTCCCAAGTTCAGCACGACGCTGGCACAGGAAGCCGAGGTGAGTTTCAGTGTAACTTATCTCAAAACAAGTATTCAATAACCCCTGGAACTCGAAATACGACAAACAAAATCAGTATGCCCGTCTAGACGCTCACCGGGCCAATGTCGCCGCTGAGCATCGCAAAACCGGAAAAGCATGGCGTCGCGCACTGCACGAACTTGATATGGCTACGCTCGAGTTGAGGGCCGCTCAGCACCGCCGCGAGCTCGCGGAGAATCTTAGAAAGCGAGCGCATGCTGGTGCATTGGGAATAGACGCGAATATGGGAACAGGGACGACTCAGGGAGGTTCAACGTTTACGATGGCATGAAGGCTAACAGGATGGTTAGCGTGTGAGAATTACAGCATCGGTTTGGGCGAAAGAATTCTTGAGCGTTACGGACTACTGCCCGCCCCGCTTTGTTCTAATGTATGTGCTCATTGCATAAAGGAAGTCCTTGTTTGGATGCCCCAGCATATACACTGACTGGCTGTGGAGGAAAAGCTAGCTATACCACCATGGTTACATCTTTGGTAACTTTCTACAGACCATGTGTGTCCGCGAAGGATCCGAAGGGAGGGCACAGTAAAACCCATAATTCTGCAAAACATGCGGTGAGCACCGTGCTGCCAAAAGAAAAATAAAGTGAAGTAACAACAAATCCGGGCTGTGATTGGACCCATATTATCATCCAAACGTACTGCCCGAATAAACTTGGCTTGGTCTTACCCTGTATATCAATCTGGTGGCGCATGTCAGACGAATAAATGTCTACCTGTGTGCTGTGTGCGGTGATGGTAGACTGAGACCCCCTGGAGACTTGATGACATCGTCTAAATTCGGCCCCTGCGAACACGCACACAGACGACGGTCCCAAGCCAAAGAACAGCGATATAAAAGGGGGGGAAAGGCACAATACGAATGACTAGGAGACCCGAGTAAGAAAATCGGATTCAGAGTGGCTCACCTGCATTGCTGCGAACAGCTGTGTGGAGTACATGTCGAGCTGCGGAGATCAATGGTGGTTATTTTCACGCACACAGCGACACGCGATATAAATCGGTAGGAAGCCGGAACAAGGAAGAAACAATTTTAAACGGTTGCGATGGAGATTTAGGAGAAGGAAAGACAAACGTGAAACCTCGAATTCAAAACGCAACCTCATAGTTGACGACACGAATGATTTAAAGGACTCACGTCGATACAATCCTTTTGCCGGCCTCTTCCCTGTTCACCCGTACTAATACCACCAGTATGTTGACGGGTCTTCGGCTGATTCGAATGTTCCCGGCAGATCACCGTCCGCGCTGTGCCGCGCTCGCCGTCAAACGTGTACACGGCAGATGGATCCTCCCATGCTTGGGTTCGCTATCAATTCGGGCATCACAGGAGTGTGTTGGCACGGATATCTAGAGTACGTACTGAGAGAAACAAGCGCAATGATTCGTCTGCGCCACTCGGTTTCTTGCTGCTTTGGTCTGCTGCTGCCATCGCCAAGCTTGAGTGCGACTGTCCGGGCTCCGCCACTATAGTAGTTGGTTTCAGATCGCAAGTCTTAGTCCAAGTCACGGTGTCATTTAGCGTAGAATGACGTCTGACTCCACTTGCCGTGTCAACTGTACACCGTTGTCACAGGGGTAAACATTAAGGTGCTCCTGAGTTGCAGTCCTTGGACACATCCGTTGTCAGGGCCAGGGCATCTTATCATGCATGCGCATGATGCACCTGAACCAGATTCGCAAGCTATGAGATACCAGAATGATATATGATGCCCATTATTAGCACAAACGTATTTAATGCGGAACGGAGTACTTATCATGCGATTTGTATAGTACAAACGACCCTCGAGATGAATTATGGAGAGAACGATGCGATGCAACTTTTCATGCAAACTCGTAACGAATGTGGACAGGGGGAAGGCAGGATGCAAAAGCTGATACATACAACTGCGCCATGAATGAAAGAAGAACAGGAACGGCGTAGTAGCTCAGGAGTCCAACCGAAATGTGAAAATTCATGATAAACAATATACCCGGATTACTTTTCTGATCATGGTTTGCCATTCAGTGCTAGCCAAGG